TCCTGAGAGATTTCAGAACATGCTATTTGTATGGAAAGGCTGGCATTTAAACATATACTTCAGAGGACTGAGATGCACACAGCTGGCTTCTTTTGTGAAGGAACATTGTAACAGGAAGCATGGCAACTCACCAAAAATATGACATCATAAAATTGAAAGAAACATGGGCAACTGAATGACATAGAAAACATCTATCAAAATAGTTATGAGGCAGTTTCAAGATAGAGGTTATATAGAGTCTTAGAATAAGTTACATAAAACAACTAATTGCCAGTGCTTGTGTCAGTCATTCTGTTGAAAGTGAATGCTCAGAATGAGGCATAGTCTGCCTCTGGAGACTGGTAATATGACATGAATGGACCATGACAACATCACAGGTAAAAGCAGCCATATCACTGCAAAAGTCATCTCAATTACACGCGCTGGTCAAACTGGAGGGCAAGAAGGAAATGCACAGGCAGAGAAAGTAAGGACAGGTACTGTGGGAGGAGTATAGGGATGCTGTAGGCTGTGTAGAGAGGGAATCAGGGAGGCCAAAGCCCAAATGGAAGTGAACTTGACAAGGTATACAAAGAGGAAAAAGAAAGGCTTCTACAAGTACATCAAACAGAAAATGAAGGTCCAGGAAGGAATATCCCCACTGGTGAATGTGCTGGTAACAGTGGTCAAGGAAAAGGCTGAGGTACTCAACAACATTTTTTTATTAGCTTTCTCTGGCAACTGCTCTTTATACAGCTTTGCAGTGGATGAGTTGGAAGGTGGGAATTGAGGGAATGGTGTCTTTCTCATTGTAAGTGAATATCAGGTACATGAGAAAGTCACAGCAGTCAAGCGAAGTCCCATTTTTAAGAAGGGTAGAAAGGATGATTCAGGGAACTACTGACTGACCTGTCAGCCTCACATCTGTGTCAAAGAAGATCATGGACCAGGTCCTACTGGAAGCTATGCTAAAGAATGTAGAAGAAAGGGAGGTGATACTAGACAATCAGCAAGACTTCACCATGGGCAAGTCCTTCCTAACCAATCTGGTGGCTGTTTATGATGATGTACCAATGGACCAATGCACCAATGGACAACAGAAAAGTCACCTATCTGGATTTCAGTAAGGCCTCTGATGCTGTCCTCCACAACATTCTTCACTATAAATTGGAAAGATGTGGATTTAATGACTGGACTGTTTGATGGATGAGGAACTGGTTGTGAGATCATACCTAGAGAGTGGTGGTTAGTGCATCAATGTCCAGATGGAAATCTATGATGAGTGGTGTCCCTCAAGGCTCAGTACTACGACTGGTGCTCTTCAATATCTTCATCAATGACACTGCCAGTGGGAACATGTGTGCCCTCAGCAAGTTTGGCAATGACACCAAGCTGTGTGGTGAAGTTGACACACATGAGGAAGAACAGGATGCCATGCAGAGAGACCTAGATAGGCTTGAGCAGTGGTCCAGGAGAGTCTCATGAGGTTGAACAAATCCAAGTGTAAGGCCTTTCACCTGGGCTGAGGCAACCTCCACTATCAATACAAGCTGGGAGAGGTAAGGATGGAGCACAGCCCTGCCAAAAACATTCTGGGGGTACTGGAGGATGGGAAGCTGGACATGAGCCAGCAATGTGCCCTCACAGCCCAGAACATCAAATAGATCCTGGGTTGCATCAAAAGAAGTGTGGCCAGCACTCTACTCCATGCTGGTGAGAACTTACCTAGAATAGTGCATCTACATATGGAGCCCTAAGTACAAGAGAGACCTAGACCTGTTGGAGTATGTCCTGAGAAGGTCCACAAAAATGATCCATGGGATCCTCCCCTTTGAGGACAGACTGGGAGAGCTGGGGCTGTTTAGCCTGGAGAAGAGAAGGCTCCGAGGAGACCTGAGAGTGGCCTTTCAGTGTTTAAAGGGAGGGGAAGAAAGAAGGGGACAGATTCTTTAGTAGGATCTGTGGTGATAGGACAAGGGAAAATGCTTTCAAACTAAAAGAGGGAAGATTTAAATTCAATATAATGAAAATGATTTTTATTATAAGGTTGGTGAGGCACTGGAACAAGTTGTTCAGAGATATGGTGGATGCCCTTTCTCTGGAGACATTCAAGGTCAGGCTGGACCAGGCTCTGTGCAGTGTGATCTAGCTGTGAGTGTCCCCACTCACTGTAGGGGAGTTGGACTAAATGACCTTAACGATCCCTTCCAACTCAAATGATTCTAGGAGTCTGAAAAATGATCGTTTGTCTGATGTCTGTATCTCATACCATGTTATACTTGCCAGGAGATGTGATGTTTTTACACTAGAGTTTATTAAGTCCTTCCTTTAGGGCTGCTTTAGTAGGTGGAGACCCTTCTCTCTTGCAAGGTATGTTCTATCTGCCAAAATGCCAGATAAATTTACTTAATCACATGCTGTTGAACAGTTGCATGAATTCTAAGGAATGTTTCTTCATTTTAAGAAATTGCTTTTTTAATCCAGCAATCTTAAAGAGAGCCTAACATTCAAGTATATAGCAAGACAAGATTGCTCCAGTTGTGAATTTTGTATTCCAGTTAAAATATTCCTTCCCTGTGGTAGTTACAATGCTCTTCGGGTGCTTTTCAGATTTTTCCTGCCCATAAATACATTAGAAATCACATGAGTTTGACAATTACTTATTTCTTATTATTAAACATTACAGAATGACTACAGATCTCCCTGACACTATTAGACATGCACCAAACATCCCTGCAGGGATTCGCTGCCTGTTACCCCCACACATTCATCTCACTCCATCCAGCCCTGTCACTGACCAGGAAACCCACAGGTCTTCTGTGAGGAGCTGACTACCTACAAAACACTGCCACTGGATAATAGAGATACAAGAAAGATACTGCCGAATCCTAACAAATACAGCTTCTCAGAATATTTTCCTATTTTCAACTTTATATTTCTAACATTTATAAAGATGTGAGAGATTCTAAGGGTAACCGTCTGCTTCCCTGGAGTGTTCATGACACTAACACTCAAAATGTGCAAATGTCTTTGGAAAGTGAGTACAAAAGTCAAAGGTGACTGAATATACATGAGTTTTCAAACATGAACAAATTTTTAGACATTGCTCTTTTCCTTTGTGTGGGTTTGTGATGCTGACAGAAGATTCAGTGAACGTGCTGACTTTTGATAGCTGCAGGATCAGCTTAAACAACAGTACTGACATTCAGCTTCCTCATTTTAGAACTTACACGTCCAAATTTCATTTCTGTTTCTTTGGAAATGTGAATATAATTTTAGGTATTTTTGTTACAGTGTGTTGGTGTTTTTTCTGAAATACATATTTTTTGCATTTATTTAGATATGTGCTTTGTTATATACTATTACATACAATTGCTGACTTGTGAAGAAATACAGAAAAGAAACAATTAAAAAAATTACCAGTTAACAAGATAATTGCATCCCAAACATATTCTAGCTTGATAATATTGTTTGGAAGATTTTCAAGATTTTATTTCAAAAGCATTTACATGTACTAGGTTTTGCTGCGTGTATTTTAGAAGAAGGTAATTTCGTCTTGACAAATTTTGATAAAAATGCTCTAATCTGAAAGTACCTCATAATTTTGCCAGATGGTATGAAGGCGGTCTTTACTAATTTTTACAATTATCCTATGGTTATGGGTTAATTCAGGTTGGTTTCTTCTCACACAAAATTTAATGAAATGTTTGCTCTCTTTGACACTCGGAGAATCACTGGCATTTGGCAGGCAAGTTCTGTATTTTAACCATTACTTTTATTGTAACAGCTGCTTACCTCTTATGAGCAGGCAATGAAGTACACGTGCAGTCTGTAGGTGGGGAAGGAGTAACTTGGCAAAGTGCAGCTGCATTTTCAGCTCACACTGTGTAAAGCTGAACAAGACAACAGCTTTTGGATGACAATGCAAATCGTTTACATGAGAGTGCATTTTAATCACATTGCATCAGTGAATTCCAGTCAAAGAAAAGAATGCTAAAATTAATTTTTTAAGGGAATTTGAGGGTTTAATTTCTTCTTCCAATAGTTTAGTCACCGTTGCACTTGAAATTAATTCACAAGTATTTTTTGTATACCAGCTTCATTATTCACTTCTAAGATTTCACTGTAACTATTGCATATCACTAACACAATCTTTTAAAAAGTTTTCATATTAAAAAGCTAGAGAAGCTCTTCTGAATGCTTAGCTGGATTTTGTTGCTTTGTAACTCAGAACTAAGGAGCAAGATTTTGGTTGCACAGATTGTAGGTATATGCTACTAATTTATTTACCTACCAGGTAAGTCAGGGACAATACCTACTGAGTTCTGCACATTGCTGTGATTTTAAATCAGTAAACATTCAGAAAAAAAAGAACAGTAATACAGTTATGAAATTATTATTTCTGTAAAATCCCATGTTTCCAACAGAATAGCACATTCTCAAAAGCCCACAATATTTGTATACTGCAGCTTTCATGATTGAAAACTTTTTGTTGCTGTCTTGTCTTTTTTCTTTCCATTGAGTTTGGTAGTATTATTCATTTTTTTAAGCTGAACTGCAAGCTTTTGAAATAATAGGTCATAAAATTTTGATACCATCTCTCAATGTTAAGCTTGCAATTGCATGCACCACCTTTCTACCTGCCCTCTTTCAACAAAAATGCTGTCCATTCTCAGCTCAAATTTACCTCCTCATCACAGAATCCAGCAGCTCCCTAGCAACAGCAAAATTTCTAGTGGCAAATGAAGGACTCCTACAAACGTTACCTTTTGGTAAAGAGTTGGCATGCCAAGCATTCCAGGACAATCAGTTGATGAGAGATTCCACTCTGCAAGAATAACTCTATAGGCACTGAAAAAGTTATTTTTCCCCAGCTCTTAATGACCATGAAATTATTTAAAAAATCAGTAAGATTTGGCCATGACCTCACTAATTTTAGTGTAAACCCAAGGCCAGTTTAATGAGCTACTTCTAATCTAACCTATGCAATGAACACTGAAATTCAGGTCCTGACCCGAAGATTACTTTTGTCTGTTTATTCATATGAGAGGAGTGTAGGTTTGTCTTTCTTCTGCTGCATTAGAATGCTTTTCCAGCTTTGAACATGACGTAGTGCAGTCTTCGAAGTGCTTTTCCAGTCATTTCATTGTGTTCTGAACAGATATAAGTAAAGATGTTGTTAATAATTATTTTCCAGAAATGCATGTTCATTTGCCTGTTGATTTCCTGCCTTTTCTTGACAACATGCCTGACCAAAGCAATTTCCCATGAGGCAGTAAACTGGTGAAGCATTGCCTTTCAGTTACAAGAACAAGACTGTATTGTAGACTACTAATCTTCAAACGAGGTGAAAAATCTGGGGGGTCCTTAGGGAAAAGGTCAGACAAAAAGTGATGTTAGAACTGCTAAAATGATGGTGACAAATTGCAAGAACATCTCACAGCAGGAAAGAGCACGGTACCTTCTACAAACAAATCCTCACTCTTCAGCAATAATCATAAACCAAGGTCAGTAGCAGGTTGCTGCAGGATACCTTGTCGTTCTCCTGGAGAGAGCAAGCCTATTTTTGTGGGTCCCTGGCTGGCATTCGTATGGATGTTAACTAATATTTTCCTCACTACAGAAATCCTAGATATCTCAGTGGCAAGAAATGCCACTAGAGTGAGGTGAAAAAAAAAGATCAAGAAGAACTAAAACAGATAGACATCTGCAAAAACAACACTGCTCCTAAGGATATATTCTGTAAAAATTAGTGAACAGGTCAGAAACAATCCCATCTTAACCCACAGCATAACTCTCTCTTCTCTGGACAGAGCAGGGGTAGCTGATCAAAGTGTAGTCTGTACATGTTTCTGGAAGTACTTTTAAGTATAATGTCTGCTCTGAGATGAAGGAACAAAAATGGACTCTCATTCTCAAAAGTCCCTAGTACCATCAACAAGAGATCCTCTCCAGGCTCAAATAGTGGAGGGTTTTTGCAAGTAAAAATTCTGAAGATGTGAGAGAAACATAAGGCTTTAGTCAAGATTTCAGAAAAAATAGTCCATTCATAGGAATGTAAAGCTATAATTGGAACAATGGTTTTCTGATATCACAGTTACTTAATTACAAAATGCACAAGTGCAATAAAGAACACAATTTGAATGTTGGCTCACACAGTGCAAAGAGTCTAAGATGATGCTATATCTGCAAACAGGACATTAGGTAGATTAGCACAATACAGAGCAATTCAATTAGAGACAGAGTGACCTTTTACTGCTTATGCTAAAAAGCAGCAGAAGGAACCTTGAGTATAATGAATATTTAGCTATCTCCATTTCATTGCTGTTTTCTAGCATTACCTAAATGAATGTACCTTTTCTGTACTGCAGATGAATTTGGAAGTCTGTAGCATTTCATCAGGGAGATTTCCCTTTTTCAACAAAATGTTCTGAGTATTGTCTATGAAATCATATATATGTTCTCAGTAATATAGTAGTAGTTTCATTTTAGCCATCAAGATATTGATTTGACCCTTGGGAAACTACTAGGGTGTCATTAAAATAATATTTGCCACTTTGCAGTAATTGCAGTAATGTGGCATCTCCTCTGGTGCACCAGCAAACAGAATTCTCCACTTCCTGCAGTGAAAGTTGTGCATTAAGTGGTGACTGCTGCAGGTAACAGCAGTATTGGACATACTACCTCAACTTTCTATGTTTAAAATCAGAGTTACAACTTAGGCTGAGATGTAGTTTCTACTAGAAACAAAGGTAAAGTCATTAAAAAATCTACAGAGTTCATCCAAGAAAATAACTATCATTTATACTTCAAAACTAATGAGTATCATGTGATCAAGATATCAGTTTTATCTCTCTTCTGTGTGATAAAGTGCAATGACCCCTTCACATCGTGCTGGGAAACTGGTTCAGTAATGACTCAGAAAATGCCACCTGCACTTCCCAACCAGCAGCTGAATTTTACTACAAGTCCTTTAATTGGAAGAACAGCTCCAGCTAGGCTTTCTTTTTTAATAAAGGTTATTGTTCTTACATTTGAATACCTTGTACTTGCTTTTTTTTTTAAATATAATGATTGGCATACACCATGTGGTTTTGAATAATAACTTCCATTATAACAAATACAGCCAAGTGTACAGAGTCAGGAAACAATTTATTAAGGGCAGGGTCTGGCTTTAGCTGACATGGTAGAAAAGCACCTCACCGTGCAGTGCTGGAGAGTCTTCAGGTACAGATGCTGGACTCTAGAGCAGCTCTCATTGCTGCAAATGAAACAGTCAGAAATTAGATGGGAAATGTAATTATAGAAAATTCAGGATTAGTGGACACGAAGCAGCCTTGGTGAGGGTCTGTGGTTCACATAGTCTATTATAGCCACCTAGGCTTCTGGGAGGTTAATCAACTGCTGGAAAATGAGTTAGCTCAGAAGCACTGCTACTGAGCCACTGCAGCTGCACCAGGCAGTGCAGAGGGGGCTAATGAATGCCCCAAGGTCCAGTAGGGTGGCAGGAACGCAGTTGAATCATGGGGAAACTGTGACATCACTGGGTGGACTCATAGCAGAGACTGAAAGGAAAAGTCTTAGTCTTCTGGAAATCCCCAGCTGAATACTGTGCAGGGAGGGAATAATACTTCTACTAGCTCTTCAAAAGAAGGGTACCATATATGTACATAGTCTCGTGTCACAGTTAAAAGGAATATTTCCATCTTACTCCTTGTGCAAGAATGTTCAAAGCAGGAATGGCAAAGGTATTTTTCCAGTTATGGTACTGCTTGCTTTTGAGAGACTGGAAACTCCAGATTTTCCAAGGGGTGAAGGGTATTAAAGAAGGCATGTCTGCATGAATTGCTCTGGAACTAGCCCTACCCTTATGACTGCCCACCCAGTGTAAAAGCTAATTTGCACCTAATAATCTTTTTCTTGTGGATCAACTAGTTTATCCCAAGTGAAAACTCAAAAGTGGCTGATGAGAAAGACTTCACTCCCCAAACTGTCCACACAGCCAGGGGGGTGTGGGCTGTGCAAGGTTTCACCAATCTGTCCAACAATTTTTCAACATTATCTCTAGGAGGCTTGTGCTCCTCCACATTCAGTGTGTTCATGACTCAGTGCTGCCTTCCTGAGATAAAACTATCATACTTGTGGGTTACTGCCAGGCGTCTCTTGCTAAATAATCTGTTTTCTCTTGGTTTGATATGCTAAGAACAGCTAGCATTACTGCAATGGCACAGAAGGATGGGTTGAGAATGAAGAGGCCAAAGACATCCCAGATCCTCTCCAGATTCCACTCTTCTGGTGGCTCTCACCAGATAACATGGCAGCTTGGCACAGTATGGAAGTGCTGCAGTGAGCTATGCCATACTGCCTGTCCAAAGTTGAATACCAAAAAGTCTGGTACAACTCCATATAAATGTGCAAGCAGCATTCTTTCTTTGTTGAGAAGGTCTTCACTGGCTCACCTCTCCTACACTAAGTTCAATGTTCCTCTGGTCTGGGACTGGGCCTGTGACTTCAGCTCGGTAGATCTAGGAGTCCAGCTATCTCTTTGTCCTCAACTCCCAAAGCTAAAGACTGGGAATTGAGGAAACAGTCACTTCACCACTGGATCTTCATTTTCCCACAACCCTACCGAGAGAGTGCTCCAGAGGGAGAGCAAAACTTTTTGAACACGTGGGAGCTCAGGCTGGGTGAGTCAGGCTCAGTTTGTTGCTAGGGCAGAATTACAAGTAGCAACCAGACAGAGCTGTCTTTCTATGGCCAGCTGATCAAAGCGTGGACATGAAGCTGATCAGTGAAACATAAGAAAAAAAGAAAAGGAGAACTGTGGTTCTTTGATATAGTCTATCGAATGTGGACTATGTGAGCACATAGCCTCTGCAGAGCAGCACTGCAGATAACAAATATCTACAAATATTTTAAGTTCTTAAACCAATGTCCTAATTAAGTCTGACATCTCCAGAAGGAAGGTGTTTATGCGTGGTGGTGTGAAACCCAAGGGACTCTAAGCTTCAAACCAGGCAACACAGAGGTGGCTACATAGCCTTCTAAATTTTGCATCCAAAGCTAGCTAATTCATATATTCACTATCAACAATGACAGACGCTAGTGCCCTTAAACCTCCCTCATGTGAGGAAAGGACTGTCATAGATTGCAGTCACAGAACAGGGCGTTTAGCAAATCAGAAGGTGCTGGAAAAAACTAAAAGCAGGAGTGATTTAGGAGCCAGAATTGCCCCCTCTCAGGTGGTGACTCTCACCCTGGACTGTCCTATCACAGCAGGGAACCATCAAGGTGAAGTCATCCCCATGAAAGTCTTCCACCATCATGTGCCAAGAACTGCAGGTGCAGATGAGATGACAATAGACTGGTGATCAGTTCTACAGGGAGTATAGGGCCATATTTTTAAGTGCTCTGTCATGGTTCTGTGCAGAGTGCGGTAACGATGATGAGGAATTGCTGCTTTGGGGACATGAAGATGACTAAATACAAGGGGCTCTGGGACTGAGACCAAGACCAGGTTTGTTTTAAGTACTGCTGCAGCCAGTCTGCTCTGGTCTTGAGGAGTGGCATGAGTCACTCCTCAACAGCTGATCAGAGGCCACAGGCTCCTTTTATGAATCCCTAAAGGCTCTACAGATCAACCCAAAATGTGTCCATAAGCATCAGAACTCAACTGACAGGAACAGCTATTACTCTCAACTTATCATTTGAGAAGACCAGTTATTTTGAATCTGATTTTCCAGCTCTAAATCTGTGCTTTTCTTTTTGCTGGCAGGTAGACATCCAAATGATAGTGCTGCTCAGGGAGAAACTTATGACTCAGTCTTCCTGGAATTTACAAAATTTACATCCTCCTACTTATTCCACATTGCAGCTTTTTGTCACGTTTATTCTTAGCATCCTGAATACAAAATGTACATGGAAAAAAGGGAGAGAAGCTGGTTGTCACATTACCTCCCTTCACCTCCTAGTGACTACTTCCTCAATAAGGATTAAAAAAAAGGCATTCTTACAGCTGGAAAACCCCAGGGTCCAGTTTGGAGCACCCATCATAGTCAAGAGCTTGTAGCTGGTTAGATCAGCTGCTGCCCAAATACTGTCGCTCTGGATGTTCTGAAAAAAAGGCTTTTCCACTGAAATCTGTTATTGCCTCCTTGCAAAATGAGAATGACATATTTTCTCCACACTAGTTATTTGAATGAATAGTCTACTAAGATCAGGACAGTGTCCATGAGACAATAAATCATCCATTTTGCTCAAAAAACTAATCAAAAAACCCTCTCTGCCAACTGTAATATAGATCAACATTAGGTCAATACTGTAAAACAATTCCTTTCAATTCATGTTTCTGTGTTAAATATGGGTCCAGCCTGTTCCCATTTTGAAACAAAAAATCCAAACCAAGGATGATTTAGATAGCATCTATTTGATTTATATAGGTCTAAACTGCCTATAAATTTTAAGGGAAAGGTCACGTAGCATTCCTAGCAAGAAGAGTGGGATAAGAGGTAGGGGGTAGCTTAAAAAGGGTCTGCAGATTTACTGTACTAAAAACACTGGGAACTGTGTTTTGACTTTCTGGGATAGCTGGAGCAGAAGGAGAAGTCTCAGGAATGTTCAGCGGTTTGAGAATGAATGAAGGCTGAGGATCTTTATGAAGTAGTTTCCTTATTTCACCTGTTTATTAATAATTGATGTTACATAGGTACTACTAAAAGCAAAGAGCAAAGGGAAAAGAAAAGAAAACAAAAACCCAAGAAAAACAAAACCCAACCCCCCAAAACAAAAAGCTTTGAACAAACCATTCTAAAATCCTGTCATTCCCACCTGTTCCTACTGAGCTCCTTCTAGCCTTTGTAATCTCACTGCTAGCTTTTCATTCAGCATGGTCTTCCTTGTCTACAAGGCTTTCTAGCCTGTCTTTCTGATGAGAGAGAAATATGAATTTGTAGGAGAAAAGACAAACATTTTACTATTCCTTAGCACAGAACCTTGCTCAGCCATTGGGATTTTGATCTAGAAATAGGACCTGCAGCTCTCACTCCACTGGCAGTGACATGAAGGATGAGCACCGCTGCATGTCTGTGATGCTGCACGAACTCAAAGCAGGTAGTATCATAGTGAAATCAGCTTGTCCCAATAGCTCCATACATATGCAAGAGTCATCTCTTAATGGAAGCCTAAAAAATGACTTTCTTACTTTACAGACATGGGTCTGAGGAGCTGTGGGACAGGGACCATTCACATGTGAGGGCTTTGCAAAAATGCCACTACAATCTAAAGCAAAGGAAATTTTGCTATTCTCTGCAAAGTCAAGCCTGTTGACATGCAAGGCAAAGGCAAATGACTTGTTAATTACTGTTTTATTTAATTTAACTTTTATTGGAAATTGTCTTTTAGTATTTTTACTCTTAAAAATGTTTGGCTCAGTAGAGCAAACAAAGGCAATGACAGAGCCTTTATTTGAGAAACAGTTGCTATAGGAAAAGATATCCAAGAGGAATTAATTCACCCCTCCCGTTTGGAGAATGGAACGAGCTGAGGAATGTGACCCTCCTCCGTTTGTACCATCGCGCTGCAGCAGAGAAGGGCGGGGGAAAAAAGGGAACCCGCGCAGACTCAGATGGCACAGGAAGTAATGAGGAGACAGAAGGGGCGGCTCTAGACCCCCCCTGCCCGCTCCAGGCACTGATGCTCACCCATTGGTTCGGGCTGCGACCTTGGAATTCCACTACACCCCTTCACAGCACAAACCAATGACTGAGCAAATGTACATTGTGATGCATGTATAATACCCACCGCAGTGTGGAATGTTAAGACAGTAAAGGCAATTATTGGCAGACTTTTCCAAAGTTATGTTTGGCCAGTACTTGATGCTCTTTCTCGAGTCATATCTTCTTCAAGGACCAGCAGCGGTTCTGATTCGTGCTCGCCAGTTCCAGAAAGTTCAGCAGTTCACAACAGGGTGTCACAATGTTTCCTTATGGACACTGGAACATACTGGAATAATGTTGCTCTTGCTGGCTATCCTGTGAATTTATGACCTCAAGGGGAGTAAAACAGATGTTTAATAGGTACGAGGAGGGGTAGGTCTGCCCTCCATGGTAAGAAACAGGCTGAATTTTGGTCTTGAGTCAACACCTCCAACTATATCGGGGCATATCCTGGTCTTTGATACCACACCCTTCGGTCTGATTTCTGAATCACTATATCAGGTACCAAAGCGGGGTGTTCTAATTTGCCGCATGGACATAATGTCCCCTTTGCAATGAAAAAACAGGTGTGTCAACTACTACGTCCATTGGCCATGAACGAATTACTGAAGGGTTTACTGATCCCCCAACATCTAACAATCTCCCTGAAGGTGCAAGGAGACCAAATCATTTTGGTCCTGCTTGCACTTTCCAAGGCCATTTTACCTTGTGTCTCCCAGGCTCTAGGTCCTCAGAGGCAGGGAGCAGAAGATTATTCATGGTGCCAACTTGTGGCTTGAGCAAGGTGTCCTTGCCTGTAATTTGTATCCTAAGCGAGGAGGCCCAAATTGTCTGCAACATTCTTAAAGCACTGGGTCTGCCTTCTCTTGGTTTCTCATTCAAGTCTCGCAGGGTTTCATAAAGCCTCTTGGTCCTGTAAGGACTATGAGACTCTTCAGAGCAGCCTTCAGGATGCTGTTATATCTTTCTATTAGGCCTGCTCCTGTTAGATTATAGGGCAGGTGAAACCGCCATTTAATGTTGTTGTCTTCAGCCCACTTCTGCACAGTTACACCTGAAGTCTCAATGACCTCAGAAGTCCCATATGACACCAGCAAACTAGTTAAAGCTTTGATGGTATAGGCTTGGTTTGCCTTTGCTACAGGATAGACTTGCTGTATCAACACAATTTAGGGCATATCTGGCCCCCTCAGATCAAGGAAGGGGACCTATAAAATTGATCTGCCGTTGCTGTAATGGGTTGTGTCCTCTAATGAGATGGGCCGTAGTTTTTGGCAGAGGTCTTGGTCTCATTTGTAAGCAAGCGTCATGCCTGACATGCTTGGACAATATCTGGTAACTGTATAGGCAGCCTCCATGCTTTAGCTGCTGCCCACATGGTTTTCTGTCTTGCATGTCATAATTTGCGATGCAGCCAGTGGGCTGTGTCTTCTGCTGATGTACTTCCTAACCATCAGACTCGAGCCAGTGTGCCAGCTTCATCATTGCCTGGTGACTGCAAGGGTTGATGTCCAGAGACGTGGTATGCTCGTACAGTTCTGTGCCTAACCACGTTCCATGTATCAACCCACATATCTTTGCCCCAGATAGGTCGGGCATGGATCATCCAATCCTGAGTGGCCCACCGTGATATCCAGAGCTTAAGCCCTCAGTAGACTGCCCAGCTATCCATGCAGATGTTCAGTGCACTGTGTGTTCAGTGAACCATATTATTTCAGTTGAGGGATGGAATGCTACAGCTCACCACCTACTTAGGTTCCCTCTTCTGGATCCATCTGTGTACCAGGCATCTTCTGGAATAGGGTATTTCCCTTCTTGTTCCTCCCCTCTTCTCTGGACAGGTAACCACTATTTGCTCAGCTGTCTCACTGTGATATGTTACCGGCCCAAGTATCTTTTGCAGTTCTTCCTTCAGTGGAGAAGATGACAGGTGGCTTCTCTAAGATAGGTGACCCAATGTGCTACTGTTTGTGATTGAGCCACCCCAGTCTTAGGAATGTGGGTTAGGTCTTTTACCCACCCCTGAATCGGTAAAGTTGTTTTAACAATAACTTCTGCAGTCTGAGTTATTGGTTCTACTGCCTGCAACGCAAAATAGGTGGCCAATAACTGCTTTTCAACCATGCTGTATCTCTCTTCTGCTCCATGCCAAATCTATGACCACAACCCAATTGGGATTCAAGCGGAACTCTGGCACTGTCACAGTCCCCAGCCAAACCCTTCTTGTGTTACATGCACATCTAGTTCAGCTGAAAGCACTGGATAAAATATACCCAACGCATGGGCCTGTTTAAAAGCTATTTTTGCTTGCTGGAAGGCTTCTTGTTCCATTCTACCCCCATCCATATTTGGCATGTTTTTGTTAATTGGTATAAAGGTTTTAGCAGTTGTGCTAAGTGAGGCATAAAAGATCACCAGTATCCTAATAAACCCCAAAATTTCTGCAACTGCTTTGGTTTTATGGGAATCGGGAATGCTTGGATCTTATCTATGATTGCACTCGGTAACACTTTAGTCTTACCTGACCAGACAACACCCAGGAATTTAACCAATAGCTCTTGTCCTTGTACTTTTTTGTGGATTTATAGCCCATCCTTTTTTCTCTAAATAAGTAATTAATGATGGTACTGTCTTCTCTAATGCCTTGATTGAGTCAGACATTAGCATCAAATCAACGATGTAGTAGCACATTTTGACAGTAGATGGTTTGTGCCAATTTGCCAAGTCACATGCTATCAAGTTATGACAAAAAGTAGGTGAATGCGCATATCCCTGAGGTAGGACTTGAGAAGTTCACTGCCTGCCCTCCCATGTGAATGCAAATTGGTCTTGAGATTTCTTAGCAATTGGAATGCTGAAAAATGCATTTGCTAGAATGCAGAGAGATGTTTCTATTTCTCTACTTAGTGTATACATGAGGGAGGTGATGTTGGGTATGGCGCCATGGATTGATGGTGTGACTTTATTTAGTTATCTGTAGTCTACTGTCATTCACCATGTACCATCTGACTTCCTGACTGGCCACAGGGGAGTTGTATGGGCTGTGTGCAGGTCTAATGATCCCTACTCTTTCCAGCTCCTGCACAGTCTTGATAATTTCTTCTTGCCCACCTGAGAGTCTATACTGCTTTATATTTGTGATCCGGCATGGTTGTGCAAACAGGTTCAATTTTTGCATGACTCCTTATAATTGCCTGCACTGCCTGAATACTAATATATCTTTCCCTTAATATGAACTCTCCCACAGTGGTTTGGAGAGTCAGACCTGACAGGATCTCTATTCCCAATATGTACGCTGGAACTGGGGTGATAGACACCCTATACTCCCAAAGTGGTAGACACCCAACCCCCAGTTTCAACCATGTTTGGGTTACAGGGATCATCTGCCACCCCAAACTCACCTATCATTGCCTGAGTGCCTGAAAATTGGTTGGGTCAGCATATATAATTGATGTTTCTGTCCTGGTATCTACTAGTGCCATAAGCTGCTGCACATCTTTTTGGGACCAATGAATTGTTAGTTCAACATAGGGTCTCCAATCCCCTCTAAAGACCCTAATCTTGGGGAATTTTGGCTCCTCTGTCATGCCATCAACTCTGCAATCCCTATGTCTTTTTCCTCTGATGGCTTGACTGTGGCTTCCCAGGCCACCTAACGAAGTTTACTTTTCTTCGATGGGACTATGAAGTCTTCTAGATTTCATGTGTTTTGTGGAATTTGCTCTATGAGTCTAACTCCTTCCCTTTTAGGGGAGCATTGGAATCTGACTGTTTGGTAGCTTCCATAGTATTAATAAGACCTGATTAGGCTGCCCATCAATCTTTTGAAACTGAACTCTTGCTCTAGTCAGGCCATTGAACATTTGTTTTCTTGAGAATCTGATGGGTCCAGATTGAATTACCTTAGGGGCAGGTCTCCTAGGTCATGGTGGTGGATGGATCTCCAACTTTTCCATCACCATTCAGACACTGTGCCTGGCCTGTAGGTGCTCTGTCTCCCCCAGATCTGCCACCAATTGGGCAGCCAGTTGTACTATGGCCTCTCAGGCCACTAGCGGATTCAGTATGGATACCAAAGTACCATACTGATGTAGTGGAGCTTGCTGCAGGATGAGGTCCCTCATTCCTGCTGAAAATTTCATCGTGTCCGGGCTCTCAAAATCTTCCTCATAGATTGCCTCCTTTATACCTAATTCTAAATGTAGCTTTGCAAGTCCTCCATTGAGGACCATAAGACTGTATGTAATGGTATATCACTCTTATTTGTCCATGTTGCATGGCATGCGGTCATTAATTACATAATCAGTGAATGATTTTCTTCATTATGTTGAACGGCTGCATATAGTCTTTGCCTGAGGGCAGGGTGAGTGGTAACGGATGCCAGTTTTGAAATTTCTGGTCCATTCACCATGCTTTCTGCCCCATGTCATATAATCGGAGCAGCCATGCTGGCACACTCTCTCTTGGTTTTTTCTAAATTGTGGTATGAGATCCATTAATTCAGTTGCCGTATATTGGCGAGCTGTTACATGTAGTGTGCTCTGGGCAGGGGCAGACTGGTCAGGGGACACCCTTGCTGGCCTATCCTTTGTTTTATTTGTTTTTTAAGTTACAATTGGCTGGATCTCAAAGGGATCTAGCTCTAATGGAGCCTCAAGATCTGACCTTTTAGTGCTTTCATTTACAGAGTTTAGTTTCTGTGGGTTCTCTTGTACGGGGTCCCCAGTAATTTCTAGATAGATATTCCAGATTTTTTGTAGGGGAATGATAGGATTAGGTTTATTCCCCCTCAAAATTGCAACCTGTCTTTCCAGTTCTTCAATAGGGTCAGGCAATAGTTGATTTTCATCAGTGAGATCCGCTTCAGTTATATTTAGCCGGTTCAAGGCCATCAGCAGCAGCCACACCACCTGTCATTCTTGAGTAGGAAGTATGTTTTTGTTAAGACTATTGAAATACTCAGCCAGGCAGGTTGGAGACTCCTGGACATTCCCTCCGTCCCGCAGAGGGCCCCATTTTTCAATGATACAAGCAAGCCCGGTTGTAGGAATCCCAGGATGTGCCCTGGCAAAACTTCACTCACAGGGCTAGTCTTTCCTCATGCAAACCATCCCATGATATTCAAAAATGCCATGATGATTACTTTAGGAGGATTATAATTGGGTACCTTTAAAGATATTTGGCTGCCTGGGCTCGCAAAATGTAGAGCAAACAAAGGCAATGACAGAGCCTTTATTTGAGAAACAGTTGCTATAGGAAAAGATAGCCAAGAGGAATTAATTCACCCCTCCCGCTAACAGTTTGCAGAAAGGAACGAGTTGAGGAATATGACCCTCCCCCATTCGTACCATCGCGCTGCAGCAGAGAAGGGCGGGGGAAAAAAGGGAACCCGCGCAGACTCAGATGGCACAGGAAGTAATGAGGAGACAGAAGGGGCG